CTACTGGCGATCGAACGCATGACCGCTAGAGACTAACGTCAACTAGCCAGCAGCTTATGCCACTGAGCCATGACGGACAACAGCCGACCATTACGAATTGAAACCTAACTGCGATATAGCCTGACCCATCCTCCACTGTCGTGCAGGTTATTGCCCGTGCAGAGGACAGTGGTTGGCCATCATAGTCAGGTCTTCCTGACCAGCGCCGTGAATCCACACAGCAATTTTGAATACTGGTAAGGCTTAGATTTTTGATTAGTAATGAGTAGACGGATTTGGGTATGATTCGAGTTGGTTCATCGCAATTAGATTCCAAGCTGCATAGGTAAGCTACCAATCCGGAAAAGCACCAGACGCGCGTTTCGCCCTATTGGGGCTCGTCAGTAGTGCGTATCCATCGGTCCCCTACTGGGGACCGAACGCATGATCGCTAGAGACTAACGTCAACTAGCCAGCAACTTATGCCTCTGAACCATGGAGGACGACAGCACTTATGTTTGCTTTCACTTCAACCATCCTACGGGACTTGTAAAGCAATCGATTTTTTACCTGTATTATATCATTGTTCGTTGTACTGATGTACTATAAGCCCTTGCGCGGGCGTATATAGTTATGTAGCTCTGTCGGGTCGAGGAGATTGGTACGCATTCGGACAACTCCCTGTGGACGGGGTGGCTAACATCAATGAGTGTTTTAGATGCAAGCTTGTTACCTGACATGGCTGGCTACAATGATGTTGACGAGTTCCAGTCTTGAAATGCCACTACAGCGGGATAGATGCATCACTGATCTGGCAATTACCTAGTGGTCCTTAGTCAGGAGACCAGGAAAGATCACGGAGGAGAAATAGGTCTAATAGAGTAACAAACATGCATTGATAAAACGCTGGATAAAACTCGGGGTAGGGAAGAAGACCTGAGACATGTAACATAGAATGAGTCTTCTAACTTTAGTGAATGTTTCGAATACGTGCAATGACCATGTAAACCCACAGCTCAGTGTCACTGCCAGGTAGTTTACTGAAGTGTAAAGTTGTGGACACTGTGTCAGAATTTGGCGGTAGCGATTTCCTTTGAACAACGTAAAAAGGACGTCCTTGCATTTTGAGATGTTTAATGGTAGCCATCAGGATTTGGACAAAGCTGTGAGGTTGTCCAATAGGATATTTAGCTTGGCCGATGACTCTATGCTTGGACAATGGACGCCAAGGATTACATTGTGACGGAGATTGAGATAACGTAAGTGGAAGACAAGGATGGGGACCAAATGGCTCCCTGAAGAACACCAGAGTTCGTGATGAGCGAAGAATAATTCTTCCCATTAACCTGGTATACTGAGTACGTTTGGTGAAATAATCTTTCAACAGCGGATCAAATACCTACACTCGGCGCTGCTGCATTAGGCCAGGTAGACAGTTTGGTCTGATGCGACGCCAGACGGCCAACAACGGAACGCAAGTACGTCATGGGTGGCTGACAAAATCGCATGGGCGTCGGCCGTGTTAGCGCCATTGTTTGAAAGAGGTTGCGCCAAATATGGAACAGAGGTGCAATGTGAGTAGCTGGTAAACCCGGAGTGGATCTCGACTGGATGTACGGAAGCCGTACTCCAGCACGAACAAATGACAAAATATGGTAGCCGAAACAAAACGAAATGCGTTCACATTGCTTGAGGGCAGGACCCCGACGAGGTGTTCGAGGCTTCCTTAATTAGTTTAGTGACCTATAAGTAGAGCCATTCCGTTCCATAGAATACACTCCGTTTACCCAAGTCTGGCTTCTGTTTTCACGGTTGGATTGGACACCAAGGATAACGGGCCGTAGGCAACAGCACTACAAGTGGGCACCCCAACAGTAGGCAGTGGCGACCCAAACAAGAAGAACAGATGTTTGAACTCAACTGCCTGATAGATCGCGTAACAGCAGTTTACAGTCCACACAACCGAAAGCATCGCTAGAATAGTGGAAGCAGATGCGGATGGGTTTGTTTTTATTATTCAGTGACGAGAGCACAATATGTACCAGACATGCTACTACATCTAAGATAGACCTTGAGCTACGATATGTAAACTGATGAGGGTCACCCAAATGGGTCTGGACTGATACCCTTTTAAGAATAAGCCTCTCAACAATTTTTAAAGCAACAGACGTGCAAGCGATCGGTCGATATTTGCAGGTTCCTTTCTTTGGCACCAGTGTGATGCTTGCGCTTCGTCAACTGTCAGTTATCTTGTGCTGCATGAAGCACAGTGTGTACAAGTCGGAGAGGCTGTGCCAGGTAATTTGCACACCTTGAGAACCACAGGAGACAAGTTATCGGGACCAGATGCATTGTTCATCTGCAGCCCGATTAATTCTCGATGTACTTCTAGGCTGTTCACAGAAGGAGGGTTAGCTGAATCTAGTTGTGACAACAGAGGATATAGCAAAGAATGAAGTACTAAGCGAGCATGGCATGAATGTAGATATGGTTAAGACGACGTAATTCGATTTTCATATCAATCGACACAATTGACTGAGGTAGCATTTTTGCGTCTAAATGCTTTATCTTTAAGACCACAAAGTCGTTTGAGAAGAGAATCTATCAAGAAGGATAAACATTGTTGCAACTGGAAAACTGGTGTCGAAGCAGAACTGAATAATTAGTTAATTGGTCACAATACTTCGACACGTCCGCAGAGTAAGATAAGCCACAATCGGTGAAGACAATGGTTTCACATAGTTGCTGAATGTTCAGGGGAAGGCATTGTCTCCGCCTGTACTTGCGATCTTTGAAACGGGTGAGATCTTTATGGCTCATCTCGTTGTAGATAACCTTACGATGGCGTCCTCAAAGCTCCGAAGCGGCGGCGGATTACCAAAAAAAAACGCTTTTAGATTGTTAACAAATACCATACCAAACGTGGCGTCTAACTATGTTCTAACTACGTTCTTTAGCCGAAGGCTCGCAATGAATTTAGTGTCAGATCTGTTAAAATCGTCGGCAACTATGCACAGGGAGCGTTCCAGCTAGTTGAGGACCGCAGCCGTAAATCGGTTGTAAAATCTTTCGACTTCGTAGCTTGGACAGCTGAGAAATGAACATTAGCTAATAAAATCGAACGATAAACATTCAACAGCAGTCTTGATGCCCATTTCACAATTAAACAGCTGATGCTTTTAATCGATGTGCACCATGAAGAGTGAATGTAAATGATAACGCCACCACCGTGGTTTCTTTGTGTGCATTGGCGGTTAACACGAAATAAATAAATCCGTCGGATTCCACAACTGTAGCATGAAAATCAATGTGAAACCAGGTTGCCTGTAGCATAATGATGCCTAAGCGAGAATATTCACGACACGAAATCGCTTTTGATCTTCAAGTAGCGATTGAATATTAGCATTGAGTAAAATAGTTCATAGTTCCGAGATGTTCCCTTCGTAGTGCAACTAGCCATTCTGCCTCGTTTTTGCGTAGGATTCCTTCGCCACTTTTTGATTCTTTTTATTTCGTCTCGTATAGCTTGACAAGCAAAATGGTGTCCAATTCATATGCGTGAAAACACGCAAAACTTTCAGTATCGTGTGTGTAGAGGACCATGTTGAAAAGTTAAAACAAAAAGGTTTTGGTGCATTGCCAGGATAGCGTGTGTGTAAGTGAATCATTTGGGTAGGAATTATAGACCACGGCCAAATTTGAAGGCCCCGCCGCTGGCCAATAATCATCGATGCTGTTGTCATCGTAGCGAGAATCAAACTGCTAGTTCGTTGAATTAGTTGAGCGTAGAATAGTGTGGACTATACCCATCTATCCCAATGACGCCTGTATATGATAAACAACAATGAGCCCATGAGGTTGTGGGTACGATGGATGCGAACGGCTGGTTAATTTTTGTGTTTACTATTGTTCGAATTTCATTTCTCACAACGGCATTAAAAGTAGCATATTAGTGCATTGCACTGGCTCTTCACTGGCACGCATGCACAATGATTGGATCATCGTCATCATTATACACGTCAACTAGAGGTGGGAAACACCTCAGCTACTGTGTAGTAATACATAAAGGAAAATAAATACAGCACAATACAATGATCGCACTAATGAAAAATACAAGGAGACACGAGGAACATAGTATAAAATCTATGTGCTCTGAGCGAACACTCAGTAGGTGACTGCATGCTGCATGTCACGCATCGGTGGCATAGCCTCCTTGCAGTTTCCCTTGACCCGCCTAATAATCAGCCTTGCCATACAGACAGCTCGGTGTCCCACAAACCTAAAACACGAAATCAGATCACAAGAAGACGAACAGCGTGGCACTGATGCGGACTGCGAGCCATGCTTTTCAAGGGCATAAGCTAGGTATAAGGGGTCACGTGGATCCCAACTTGGTAAATAATATGAACTAACAGCACATGGTTTAGCCGTCATTGGCGTCATTTCAAGCTGACAAGTCAACTTATGCCGCTTCCTTCGGACATCAAGACATCACAGATATGGAGAATATATCAGTGTTCTCGGCAAACGTGCTCGAGACAAGAAAACTCATTTAGAAGCAAAAGACAAGCTTGTTCGCCTAGCTATTTTTTACTTGATGTTTTTTAAGGGATTATTTTCTCAATTGAAACCCATTCAACTAAGCTAAGCAACTACCCGAACATTGGCTCCTAGCAATCGTTTGTGCACATCACAGTTGTGGACAAGCTGGTGTCAACCGACACGAGCCATACTCTGTGGGTGGAAAGTTCAAAGGATTGGATGCGCCCTCAGATCCTCAAATCGTAGGCACCTGGTCGCCCTGTTATAGAGAAAGACCGCGACAAGCCGATTGAGCACAGAGAGAGGAAAACCGTTGTGTTGTAATCTTCCTTATACAACGAATCAAGTTATATGAGCAAGAATATCGCTTTGCTCCTAGCGAACTTACATGAGTTCGTATCAAGATGCACGTGTTTACTTACGACTAGGTGTCGTTTATCCTATTTACGCCGGCGCTTCTCGTTTCAAGGATAATTAATGGCAGTATCACATGAAATTCTACGTGGAATGCATCCTACTTTCTGTCCTGCGGCGACAGTCATCGGAGCACACACACACACAGTGGATCAACCGAAGTACCCACATAAACTTGAGTACCTAAAACCAGTCACAAAATATTTGTATACAATATACACTGCAAAGAGAGAGCCTGTAGGTTCAGTGAGAAAAGTGAACAACATTCGCTCGGAGTCGCAACAAAGAACAAAGAGAACAGCATCACGTGCATTCTCTTCTGGTGCGTTCAGCGTGCGCGCTTGCCTCGAGTGATTCGAGTGTTGAAATTAAGTCGTCCGACGAGGTTGTGGCTAGTCTTGCCAGACTGCCGAGATGGGATGCGGCGTCTGGTGCGTTTGATCACTGGTGTGTTTTGCGGCGGAAGCACTCGATAAATACGGACAAGCCAGTGTTCCGACGTAAATGCTTCCTCCAGGTACTCCAATTTAAAGTGCTTTTTGCCAATTTCCACTGATCGGGTTCGGTCGAACCCAGCCGGATTCCTCATGTCCATTCGAACCTCTCCAAATCGATAGTAACTGAGTTTGTACATGAGGCTGTTGAGCATTTTAGGTGGAGCGGAACTGTCAATGCGATATTCACCCTGCAGAGGTTCAAAAGCAAAAATGCACAGCAGTGAAACGGAGTACATCAGGTCACAACCACTTCATAACACCCATCAACAGGATGTAGCTAACCATTTGTTGCACAAGGGAAAGAGAGCACACAATCAGGGTGGAAATAACCCAAAATGAAACAACAAACCCAGAGATATTGGATTTGCTTGTGCTGTCGGTGACCAGACGAACTTGCTGGAAAAGCGAACGTGTCAAAAATGCACGCTTAGTTGGTGCTAGAACTCAATGAGAGGAGGGCGAATCCTTGTGCAACAGAACGGCTGACAGGGAGAAGATGCGAGCTAGCCCAAGATGGATAAAACGCAATGGTTCGCCGTTCATTCTTTCTATCGACGTCGTACACCACATTGATTCTTGGTAGTGAAGTGGTCGAGGGAGGAATGTTTAAAAAGGTATGGGATTCATAACGTTCAAAAGACCAATCCCGAATCAACCGAGCCAGTGAGCGCACGCGTCCGTGGCATGAAAAAATAGGATGTGCTCCTTCAAGAGTATAACTACATCCTTCGTTAGCATTTCCCTTAGACATTGCTCAAAGAGACAGTATGTTGGAAGCAAAAAGGATATTACATCGGGTCTACATCCGCTCTGTTAACATTGGTAAATTGTAGAATGTGTAACCAAGGAAACGGTACGGTAAGATGGGAAAGTTCAGAATTACGTTAGTTACAAAGTCCCGTTGATATGTGGCGTAGTGCAAGGTACAAATGCACATCATCTTTTAAACCCAAAGGCTTGAATCCCACTATTCCGAAGGTCGGTATGCGACAGACCTCACTGAGTCAGCTCCCTCAGGTTGTTAGGACAAGCATATGCGATATTGCATTCTTGATCCCTCTTCACCACTGTTGGGCTAAACCAACTTACACTTAAACTAGGTATTTTTAAGCTGGATAAATTGTATTCCACTTTATTTGCCTTGTTCTGCCTACCTGATTAATCTTCTATTAACTGGCCACGTTGGTTACGCAAACCCCTTATCTTCGGTAACTTTGTTGCGTTTGTAGCATTTTTAAATAACTTGTGGACATGTTTTCCTTATCGCGGATTCGTTGCCAACCAACTTACTTCATATGGTAATTTAGCGAAGAGTTATGCCACCGTATCTGTATGTATTATCCGATTTATTTTATTTCAGCTTGTCGTTTCAAGTGAATGGCTACTGCTTGATATCCCCAGTGTGGCTGCGCTTGCTGTGCATGTTGACAAGGTGCGTACCTGTCTATTACCTACTAGCTCGTCCATACTAGCTCCAGGAGACAGTTGGACGTTGTTGGAAGGGAGGGGGTGCACAGTCCTTGTGGCCGTGCTAGGCTTGAAGAGCGGTTCCATGCACTCAGTGTGGAGCGGACTACGGTCCAGCCACCGCCTTGTGTGCGCTTGATTCCCCAAATACAGCGTGCTTGTGTTTGCATGTGAAGGAGTGTGGGCTGGCTCCGTGGATGAAACGTGGCTCCCATCCACATGCCTCGCGGTCTTATTCCTTCGGGTTTACAGTGGATATGGGATGTGTGGTTAGAGCTGTGGGTGGTGCAGCGCAAGCCAACCCTGGTCCGTCTGCAGGCGCAGGCGATCTGTGAGTGGCCACAGTGACAGGCAAATCCGAAACCGAATGCCGCCAATCATGCGAATCTACTCCGCGCTCATTTCCTGGCTTCTTGTTGTTATCATCATCCTAGAAATCTGATCGTGAGTTCTCTATAACTAATGTTTAGTAACATGTGTTCAGTACCGCACGCAGACATTGCGCATAGACTAAGCTTCATCGTCAACAGAATCCGACCACTGGAAGTGGCGCAGTGTGCTATATGGCTGTCTGGTTTTGACTGAACAACACATGTAGGTTACACAGGGGAACTCACATCGTAAGATAAGAAACCACTAACCGCAAACCCTGTGCTGAGGGTATCGGCGGTGGTACTCCTAAGTAGCTTTACTGTAAGCATCTTACATTGTCATCTTTAGGCCACACAAGGGTGGATAGGATATTGCTTTTAGGGATTAAATCTGAACATTCACTGTCTAAATTGAGGACGTCAAAGCACATATGATGTCTAAAAGAGGAAACAAATGCGTAGTATCAGTTGTTATTTCCGTGCCGTCTTGGTTTACAAATCGCCCCTGAGAAATGCATCGTCATTAGGTCGTTGGTCGGAATCCACCAAACAAAATACCTTTGTGCTATCGAATTTATTGTATGCTAGCGAAGGTACTTGATGTGCACCTAAAAGTTAATAGAAACCGTGCTTTCCCCCTGAAAGACGGGTTCTAGCTAATCGCCTGAAACAACAGTAAAAGTCGGTGGCTGAAGGATCGTTCATTTGAAAAACAGAAGCATGTTATTAGCATATCGGAGTACGCAGCGACGCAATGTCTCAGATCAATATCAATCACATCATCTTGGGGGGCTAGATGTATCCCAAGTTGATAAAGTAAAATGTTTGCCGGAAATATTTCCATTTCGGATAAGGTCCTCGCGATCGGAATGACCGAGGTTTACTCCAAGGTGAACCGAGGTTGCGTGTCACAACCCAACGACACAGCGGGTTCCCCAAATTCAACTTGTCCTTGTGACCAGTAGGTTTCTATTATAAGAAGTCTGACGGTGAACAGAACTCAAACAAAACTATTGCGTTGCAGCGCGCTTGTACAGAGGTGTTATGGACTGCATCTCGCCTAGCAGATTGCAGCAATGGATTCTTCCACGGTAACGCCTTCAATCATTCCAGCGGTGCCGCTGATGTTATCCATCGGTATGACGATAGTAAATGAGTGAAGGTGGTGCTGAGGCTTAGCGGCTGATGTGTCAGTGTGGAATGTGTTACACACAGCCCAATGCATGATGTCCGGTCAACAACGAGCTAAAAAGCAAATCGCACTCCGCGTCTGCATACACCTGTGGTGAACACTAGGAAATGGGGTCGAGGAAGCAAGCGGAAGATCAATGAGTCCCTCAGCACTGTTTGTAGAGGGATCAGGCGGGGCCTTTGAATTGGTCGTTTCCGCTCTCCCCGAAACATCATCTTTTTGCACTATGTACCGCGAAGGTATCAACTTAGTGTGAATATTTTAACGAAATTTTTGGCTGCACAAGTTCAAGGTCACTAAGGCTTCTCAACGCTGCCGATTCTTTGAAAAATTGCCCGAGACACCGCGTATAACTCGCAGTTTGCTAATTGCATCCAAATGAAACCAGTCGTCAAGAAAGGATTAATTAAAAGTTGGCCTTGGCGACTGGATCAAGAATCTAACAATTCCTTCTATCAATATGCGATCGTTGCTCAAAGATGCGGGACTGTTTACTCAAGTGACATCTGTGCACTCTTTTCCCATTCTGTTTTTACACTTTTAAAATTCTCATATTTGCTGTTGCTGTTTTAGCACATTGGTGGTAGTTGGTGTAAAATGCTGAATATGCACTCATCCTGGTGCATAAAGCTTGAGCTGACTTGATGTGAAACCTTCCCACTGTGCCCGAACACTTCACACATTGCAAACAAAAGCAGTGGTATTTGGACTTAGTAAATGTATGGGATGGACAGGACTCAATCTCGGATGCTAAATGCGATAGCTCAACGCATCGGCTATTAAGCAGGACAGAGGTCTATTGACAAGGGTAGATAAATGAAGAAACTATCCGGCCTGTGTACACACACACACACACACAACACAGACGAACACTGATCCTAAAAGAGGTGGAATTATAGCAAACTTACTCTATCGGTAAGATAATCGCGCTCCTGAATTTCGTCCGGATGTTCTCCACCGCCTATACGAACCATCCACAAAAATTTGTTAATGTCATCGCCACTGTATCCGATGTAGCCTCCGAAAATGACCAGCACGTAATCCACATCCAAAGCCTGCAGGGTCTGTGGACGCGTTATGGAGAATGGGAAAAATTGGCAGATGTGAACACTTATGCGTAGGAGATTAGAGCTGGTGAAAATGAGATGCTTGAGTATATGAAGTTCACGATCCGGCACTCATCCACACATTAGCTTATTCTACGAACACCAAAGTGGCGAAAACACTAAAACCACGCACCTGATGAGCTGGCACTGTTGTATTTCAATAAGCTCGAGATAGCTGGCCGGTCCACCATCATCAACATACTACACGTTAGCTAGAGGTGAGCAACACATCAGCTATTGTGTCTCATTACAAATCAATCAGACAGTAGTGAAGAAGAAAAATGAAACGAAAAAAATATTATGCGCAACGCATGGGATCATAGTTGGATAGAAGTTAAACATGGTGGAGAGAGACATGGTCATGGTCGAGACCTATTCGCAATGCCGGCATAGTTACATCGGGTGACTGTCTAATAGTAATTAGTTGCACTTATTTGCAAAAGCGGCACCTAACTTCTGATGAGTCAGAAGAAAAATCTGTCTATACGAAAAGACAAACGTTGCTTCGTCAGTGATTATCGGCACACCACATCGTCTTCATCACTCGGAGTTCAATCGCTGTCGTCAACACATGCATGCCAATAAATAGAGCATCAGGTCAAATAATGAAAAACAACCTACTGGTATGTACCACTCGCCCTTGCATTCGACTCCTCAGGTGCAGTTTGTTACCGACCTGCTATCGATTAACCTTTGACACTTTTGCTTCAGATGCATTGCTACAGTTTTTACTTCCGCACAATATGGTGAGGTAAACCGAGGCAATCGCGTAGACCACATGTAGAGCCGTGGACTATATTCGGTCAAACGAACCAAACCGATATGCTAATTGTAACAAAGCGGAACGATCGCATGCAATCTAAAGTATGATTAGCAAAACTATGGAACAGGATGATCAAAAGTTTACTTGACATGGTAGTGGAGACGACCGGAACACATAACAGTGGACAGTGGATGCGCTAAAAAGCTATGAAACGGAGTTCTGCGTGATTTGTACAAACCAATGCACAGGTCCTAACTCAAGAAACACACAATGAAATGTATATCGAGAGAATGTTACGCCATTCGAAAGGCGTACCGTTCGGGTACGCAAGCTAGAAACACTTTCTGAAGCCCCAGAACTATGTCTTACGACTGAAGGTCACTAGGACTGCGTTTGCCCCCATACCGAAGAGCCATCTAAAGCCTCACAATTCCGGTGCTATACTGGAGAAGGCGGGACGGTGCGAACGAGTTGTGTAGTGAAGACCGAACATGTACATGGCATAACATTTATAACATAGAACATGCAGACTCATTCGTGGCGCCATTTGATTCCACGCTGCGCCTTGTGCTATCGACTCAGCTTGCCGTGACTGTACGGTATAGGTTCAACGCTGCAGCGTCATTCATTTACAGGGCTAGCTGAATCGTCCACTACGCGCCCGTCGTCCGCGGTGATCCATTATTCGCTGAGTTCGTCGCGCCTGCTCGTTTCGCCATACTACTCAATAGTGGTACACCACACCTCCCACTCTAAAGTCTGCGGCCGTCGACCTCGCACGCAGTCTCTCCGATCTACAGGGCTACCCCATATATGCCGTAATTTCCTCTCCTCATTAGTACGACTTCCTCAATTCGCTAGCTTGAACTCGTCGCCCATCTCTGTCGAGCGATGGCGTACACGAGACCTCGTCGAGCGATTACATAATATGGTCCCTTTCTGTTATAATGTTCTCACTAGAGGCGATTCCGAAATTGGCGCTTTACTGCTCCACAAAACTTCTAGCCCATTTGAAAGAAAAAGCCACACGCCAATGACCTTGACAAAATAACGTAATAACAACGTCAAGAAACACTGTAGAACTACCGCGGACCTTGGCTGCACTTATAGGTCTCTTACTCACCTTCAACTTTTGGAATTGGAAAATCAGTTACCAAAGTTAACGGTTCCCCATAGCTTTGGCCGAAGGGTCAGGTGGTTTGAAGTCATGTGCAAAACTAAGAACATACCACAACGTTCGAAATCGATGCGATAATGGTTAAATGGCGATTGATCACTAAAATAGTGGATTTCCTTGGCAAATCTTATATTCTCCCGGAAACTTCCACATCGGAAAGAGATTCTCCTCGCTTGGACCACATACGGTCGCGCATTGTTAATCTCTGTACCTTACCTCCGGAAGGTTTTCACATGTTGACCCGAGATTTCGCTACCATCCCCGCCTGGGCTGCCTTCAGGTTTCTGTTCCCTACCTCGCTCTTGCTGCGTCCTTCCCTCGGCGGTAACTGACAAGTAGGCCACAATCCCACCTCTATACTATCATACAGGCATGTTAGCGCAGTGTACCAAGCTTTCAGCGTGACACCTTTTCGAAATCGCGTGCAGCGCTTTCAAGTTAGCGAGGCTAAGAACGCCGTTTTGGCGTCGTTGACACTCTCATTGGTCACGAGACGTTAACCAATGGGACACCGGTTGGAAGCCCCCAGCATAAGCGACAGACAGTCCAATGAAAGTAGTCGAGCACCACCTGTTCTGTCTTGATGCCCATCTGAAGTGAACCTCGATGATTGGTCTCCAAACCGAAACCGTCCAATGGGCAACTTGTGATGACTGTCTAAGGAGGAGATCCTAGCTACCACATGATCCGAAGCTTACACCATAACCAGTACGGACAGACATATTAACCAGCACAAGAAACGGTCTATACTTAGTGATCGCTAGCGGTTAGCTGGTGGTGACTTATTCAGCGGTCTAACCATGGTAGCGTAGACACGCAATCTTCTAACTGGTATTCCGCAGTCCGTGAGGTCTGAGGGAGTGAGGTAGGCCTGCATTTGCGGTTGAACAGGCATGCGCCGTGGCTTGAACACTGCACACTCAAACGCGAATCAGCACTTGATGCTAGGCGGGTAGACAATTTTGTGCGATTGTTATTGCGACGACCATGGGGGACATTGTTCCCATTGAAGTTGGTAGACCAACTTAAAGCTGAACAACGAAAGTTCTATGGGTGTTTACTTCTATCACAGTTGATGACTAAACACAGACTAAGAGGATTCCAAGTGTTGCGTTGACACGACGCTAGTGAGTGTTTGTTTGTCTCCACACCCATGGGCGACTTTGTTAATCAATTATCGCTACAGTGTCTCTATGTATGGCGTTATTTAAAGATCATAGGAACCTATGTCTTCATAGGATAATTAGGCTTTACTTCCATATGGTCGCCCATAGGTGTTGAGACGCTTTGACAAGTGGCTCTCCAAATGGCACCATTAGAAGCACAGTCAATGCAGATGGAACCTCCCTATTACGTCCATGGAGTGGAATGCTATCCTCCTGAAATCGGAATTACTCAACAAAGAAACACCAATAGGGGTCACAATGACTACCGTATTCACACATGCCACATCGTCCTGCTAGGAAAAGAGCAAGGCCGATAATTAGTGGCGACGAACGAATTTTACTCTGGTGATTCAGGTGAGTAATTGGAACAGACAAACACTGTGATCTCACCCACGGGCGTTCCTACAGCTCGTTTGCAATCATTTACAAAGGCAACCGCGCCCACTAATTCTGCTATGGACCACTGTTTCAGCTAGTCTTAGAAGCAGTCATGTGTGCACGCCGTGACACATGTTGTTATCGACTTAGCAACTACTTGGAAACATTTCGCCATTGGTAATTCCGTAGGCATTGTTAGAGGAGAATTGCTCCAAACCTTATGCTTACAATGCGTATGTAGTGGTTTTTGGCGGGTCATATCAGGGCTGTACGGTCACTTGGTATTTCCAGCTCATCACTCACATGGAAGTGAGGCGTAAATGTCATGTTGAAACGCATGATTGACATGCATCTACGACCTTTAAACAACGGTGATTGGTCATGCTGCCATTCTGACGTAAGGAGGTTTCACTACCACGCGAGCGAGATGACATCTAAGTGAGTGGTAATAAGAAGCGGGTTGGTTGTTTTTGTTGAGGCTGGAACCCTTGCAGGCTGTTGGAAGAGAAGCTTTGAAGGCTTACGGTTGGCTGCACGGTTGCCTTCCTTGCTCGCTTGCCTATCTGGCCACACGTGATACGGTATGCATAGTGTAATCGTGCCACTGCGAACATTCTGGAGAATCGATCCGTATGCCATTTCGTTTAGGAAATGCGTGTGATTGTTAAGGCAGTGTGAGGTAATCAGAAACAATACAGTACTTCGTATGAAAGAGGTAAAGCTAGGACTTGGCCGCAAATAGAAATTTTAAAGTCTTTACAGCTACAAGGTCCATGTGTTGTGTTTTTTCACTTGGCCGTACACTCATGTGAATCGTGTAGCTACGTACTGCTTGATGTAGTCGGCGCATTGTATACGGAGGTCAAGTTCGCTGGGTAGGTAAGACCATCAGTAGTAGCCATTGTTCCAACGAGGAGGGTTCCTAGTGTGGCGGTGGCAGGACCTTAGTGAGTGTTCGTCCGTCTCCACACCTGTGGGCCACTTCGGTAATCAGTTACCGCTTCAGTACCCATGGATCTGCCGTTGTTTAAAGGTCGTAGATGCATGTCAATCATGCGTTTCAACATGATATTTACGCCTCACTTCCATGTGAGTGATGAGCTTGAAATACCAAGTGACCGTACAGCCCTGATATGACCCGCCAAAAAGCACTACATACGCATTGTAAGCATAAGATTTGGAGCAATTCTCCTCTAACAATGCCTACGGAATTACCAATGGCGAAATGTTTCCGAGTAGTTGCTAAGTCGATAACAACATGTGTCACGGCGTGCACACATGACTGCTTCTAAGACTAGCTGAAACAGTGGTCCATAGCAGGATTAGTGGGCGCGGTTGCCTTTGTAAATGATTGCAAACGAGCTGTAGGAACGCCCGTGGGTGAGACCACAGTGTTTGTCTGTTCCAAGTACTCACCTGAATTACCAGAGTAAAATGCGTTCGTCGCCACTAATTATCGGCCTTGCGTTTTTTC